GAAGACTGCAGGAACTGGACTGCGGAGGAAGATCCGGGACAGTTCCGGAGCGTGGAGAGGGCTAAATGACACGGGGTTGGGGGAAAACCCTGACGTTGTACTATAATCATGTCATACCGCGGGGGTCAGAGGTCAGAGCGACATACTCACTGGGGATATAGGACGCCATGACCAGGATGAGGAAGGTGTAGTAGTGGAAGGAGAAGTTGTACTTGTTGGGCAGGCTGATGGAGTAGAGTCCGGTCTGCTTGACGGACGGCAGCGCGGCGTAGATGGTCAGCAGCTCCCCCGCCACCCCCATGGGGTAAAGTACGATGAACAGCGTGTACCTGTCACATAATCATAGCTCCGGGTCAGCAATGAGAAAACTGACAGAGAATCATGAACCAATGCCTGAAATATGAACTGTCCGTGCTCTGCCACAACCCCCTCATAAGAGTGTCATGGAAGCTTTCCGCGGATTCTGTGCAGGAGAGGAAAGCTCTCACCTCAGACACACACATTCAAGTGTCAGCCAATCAGATCTCCCAGTGTAAGGAACAATCTGGAGGGCTATGTGAAGGATTCCTGTTCCTCTATGTTCCCATCTCGCATAGCCCCACCCCTGCCCACCAGGCCCCACCCCACCCCTCCCCTGCTCACCAGGCCCCACCCCTGCTCACCAGGCTACGTGAAATAAAGATTTATACATAAGGATTGCTGTTCCTCTATGTTCCCATCTCCCATAGCCCCACCCCTGGCCACCAGGCCACACCCCATCCCTCCCCCGCTCCCCAGGCCCCACCCCACCTCGCTACGTGAAATAAAGATTTATACATAAGGATTGCTGTTCCTCTATGTTCCCAGGCCCCATTCCGCCTCTGTTCATCTAGAACCATCCTATCCCTACCCGGCACACCTGACAGACATTTAAGGCCGTGACACACTGCACGCGAAGCAGCGCGGAGCGGTGGCGCGCTGCCTTTGCGAGCAGTGTGTCATGTCACTTTCTTCTCGGCACCTCAGCTGGCGAGAGCGCGCGGAGCTGAGCGTGCCGAGATGAACAATTTCAACTTCAGCCAATCGGCTCGCGCGTATAAACCGGCGCAACGGAGGCCCAAGGGGGTGCGACAGTGGGCGGTTGGTCACGGAGGAGCCGATTGGCTGAAGGTGCAGTCAATCATCTGCTCACACACTGCACGTGCCGGAGAGCTTTGCTTCACTCTGCACGGCCTTCATGTGCAGTGTGTCACGGCCTTTATACATACAGACCGCTGTTACTCCATGTCCCTAGGCTCCACCCCTGCTTACCTAGCCCCGCCCCCTGCTTACCTGGCCCATTTGATGATGTAGGGGAGATGGTTGAGGAGGCTGAAGGTATAAAACGAGTATCGGATGATCTCAGTGACTGTCCACGCCACGACAAACAGCAGCACCGAGTCTTCATTCTGAACCTGAACAACAGAAATCATATCAATGGCTAGATGACCCGGGCCAATGGCTAGATGACCCGGGCCAATGGCTAGATGACCCGGGCCAATGGCTAGATGACCCGGGCCAATGGCTAGATGACCCGGGCCAATGGCTAGATGACCCGGGCCAATGGCTAGATGACCCGGGCCAATGGCTAGATGACCCGGGCCAATGGCTAGATGACCCGGGCCAATGGCTAGATGACCCGGGCCAATGGCTAGATGACCCGGGCCAATGGCTAGATGACCCGGGCCAATGGCTAGATGACCCGGGCCAATGGCTAGATGACCCGGGCCAATGGCTAGATGACCCGGGCCAATGGCTAGATGACCCGGGCCAATGGCTAGATGACCCGGGCCAATGGCTAGATGACCCGGGCCAATGGCTAGATGACCCGGGCCAATGGCTAGATGACCCGGGCCAATGGCTAGATGACCCGGGCCAATGGCTAGATGACCCGGGCCAATGGCTAGATGACCCGGGCCAATGGCTAGATGACCCGGGCCAATGGCTAGATGACCCGGGCCAATGGCTAGATGACCCGGGCCAATGGCTAGATGACCCGGGCCAATGGCTAGATGACCCGGGCCAATGGCTAGATGACCCGGGCCAATGGCTAGATGACCCGGGCCAATGGCTAGATGACCCGGGCCAATGGCTAGATGACCCGGGCCAATGGCTAGATGACCCGGGCCAATGGCTAGATGACCCGGGCCAATGGCTAGATGACCCGGGCCAATGGCTAGATGACCCGGGCCAATGGCTAGATGACCCGGGCCAATGGCTAGATGACCCGGGCCAATGGCTAGATGACCCGGGCCAATGGCTAGATGACCCGGGCCAATGGCTAGATGACCCGGGCCAATGGCTAGATGACCCGGGCCAATGGCTAGATGACCCGGGCCAATGGCTAGATGACCCGGGCCAATGGCTAGATGACCCGGGCCAATGGCTAGATGACCCGGGCCAATGGCTAGATGACCCGGGCCAATGGCTAGATACTCGCGCGTATAAACCGGCGCAACGGGATGCGACAGCTGGCTGGTTGTTACGGACGAGCCGATTGGCTGAAGGTGCAGTCAATCATCTGCTCACACACTGCACGTGCCGGAGAGCTTTGCTTCACTCTGCACGGCCTTCATGTGCAGTGTGTCACGGCCTTTATACATACAGACCGCTGTTACTCCATGTCCCTAGGCTCCACCCCTGCTTACCTAGCCCCGCCCCCTGCTTACCTGGCCCATTTGATGATGTAGGGGAGATGGTTGAGGAGGCTGAAGGTATAAAACGAGTATCGGATGATCTCAGTGACTGTCCACGCCACGACAAACAGCAGCACCGAGTCTTCATTCTGAACCTGAACAACAGAAATCATATCAATGGCTAGATGACCCGGGCCAATGGCTAGATGACCCGGGCCAATGGCTAGATGACCCGGGCCAATGGCTAGATGACCCGGGCCAATGGCTAGATGACCCGGGCCAATGGCTAGATGACCCGGGCCAATGGCTAGATGACCCGGGCCAATGGCTAGATGACCCGGGCCAATGGCTAGATGACCCGGGCCAATGGCTAGATGACCCGGGCCAATGGCTAGATGACCCGGGCCAATGGCTAGATGACCCGGGCCAATGGCTAGATGACCCGGGCCAATGGCTAGATGACCCGGGCCAATGGCTAGATGACCCGGGCCAATGGCTAGATGACCCGGGCCAATGGCTAGATGACCCGGGCCAATGGCTAGATGACCCGGGCCAATGGCTAGATGACCCGGGCCAATGGCTAGATGACCCGGGCCAATGGCTAGATGACCCGGGCCAATGGCTAGATGACCCGGGCCAATGGCTAGATGACCCGGGCCAATGGCTAGATGACCCGGGCCAATGGCTAGATGACCCGGGCCAATGGCTAGATGACCCGGGCCAATGGCTAGATGACCCCGGCCAATGGCTAGATGACCCCAGGCCAATGGCTAGATGACCCCAGGCCAATGGCTAGATGACCCCGGCCAATGGCAGAATCACCACATTTGGAAGAACAGTAAAAGGGACCCAGGAGGCAGGGGCGTAACTAGAGATCAGGGGGCCCCATAGCAAAACTTTGTATGGGGCCCCTTTGATCTCTAGTTACAACCCTTGCAGATCCCACCTGAGGGTGACCCTGCAGAGTCCAGACTCTGGGTCCCCTAGTCTGAGGTGTACACCGAGAGCAGCCGCAGCGGATCCGTTGAGCTCCCCGTGAACCGCATTGATCTTAAGCTGTGGAATCCATAAATAAAAACCCGACAGAGGTCCCGCGCCTCCCCCGATACATACAACGCGTGGAGAATTATACGGGAGGTGACCTCGCAGGAACACTTCAATGATACGCACCTCCCTGACGCTGTGTGTGACGGCCCAGGTCAGGAAGACTCGGGACATGACCTGGAAGGCGGTCAGGACCACAGAGGAAGGAACAATCCCTGAGAGAGAAGAGACGGCGTTACAGGAAGAGCGGAGCAAGCACGCGCTGCATATCATTGCGGCCAGCTCACTATTGCGTGGGGCTGGAGGGGGCGTGGCGGGCCATTGAAGTGAATGGCACCGTAGCCACGCCCTCCGGCCGCAATGCGAGTGCAAGACCCGGGCCAATGGCTAGATGACCCGGGCCAATGGCTAGATGACCCGGGCCAATGGCTAGATGACCCGGGCCAATGGCTAGATGACCCGGGCCAATGGCTAGATGACCCGGGCCAATGGCTAGATGACCCGGGCCAATGGCTAGATGACCCGGGCCAATGGCTAGATGACCCGGGCCAATGGCTAGATGACCCGGGCCAATGGCTAGATGACCCGGGCCAATGGCTAGATGACCCGGGCCAATGGCTAGATGACCCGGGCCAATGGCTAGATGACCCGGGCCAATGGCTAGATGACCCGGGCCAATGGCTAGATGACCCGGGCCAATGGCTAGATGACCCGGGCCAATGGCTAGATGACCCGGGCCAATGGCTAGATGACCCGGGCCAATGGCTAGATGACCCGGGCCAATGGCTAGATGACCCGGGCCAATGGCTAGATGACCCGGGCCAATGGCTAGATGACCCGGGCCAATGGCTAGATGACCCGGGCCAATGGCTAGATGACCCGGGCCAATGGCTAGATGACCCGGGCCAATGGCTAGATGACCCGGGCCAATGGCTAGATGACCCGGGCCAATGGCTAGATGACCCGGGCCAATGGCTAGATGACCCGGGCCAATGGCTAGATGACCCGGGCCAATGGCTAGATGACCCGGGCCAATGGCTAGATGACCCGGGCCAATGGCTAGATGACCCGGGCCAATGGCTAGATGACCCGGGCCAATGGCTAGATGACCCGGGCCAATGGCTAGATGACCCGGGCCAATGGCTAGATGACCCGGGCCAATGGCTAGATGACCCGGGCCAATGGCTAGATGACCCGGGCCAATGGCTAGATGACCCGGGCCAATGGCTAGATGACCCGGGCCAATGGCTAGATGACCCGGGCCAATGGCTAGATGACCCGGGCCAATGGCTAGATGACCCGGGCCAATGGCTAGATGACCCGGGCCAATGGCTAGATGACCCGGGCCAATGGCTAGATGACCCGGGCCAATGGCTAGATGACCCGGGCCAATGGCTAGATGACCCGGGCCAATGGCTAGATGACCCGGGCCAATGGCTAGATGACCCGGGCCAATGGCTAGATGACCCGGGCCAATGGCTAGATGACCCGGGCCAATGGCTAGATGACCCGGGCCAATGGCTAGATGACCCGGGCCAATGGCTAGATGACCCGGGCCAATGGCTAGATGACCCGGGCCAATGGCTAGATGACCCGGGCCAATGGCTAGATGACCCCGGCCAATGGCTAGATGACCCCAGGCCAATGGCTAGATGACCCCAGGCCAATGGCTAGATGACCCCGGCCAATGGCAGAATCACCACATTTGGAAGAACAGTAAAAGGGACCCAGGAGGCAGGGGCGTAACTAGAGATCAGGGGGCCCCATAGCAAAACTTTGTATGGGGCCCCTTTGATCTCTAGTTACAACCCTTGCAGATCCCACCTGAGGGTGACCCTGCAGAGTCCAGACTCTGGGTCCCCTAGTCTGAGGTGTACACCGAGAGCAGCCGCAGCGGAGCCATTGAGCTCCCCGTGAACCGCATTGATCTTCAGCTGTGGAATCCATAAATAAAAACCCGACAGAGGTCCCGCGCCTCCCCCGATACATACAACGCGTGGAGAATTATACGGGAGGTGACCTCGCAGGAACACTTCAATGATACGCACCTCCCTGACGCTGTGTGTGACGGCCCAGGTCAGGAAGACTCGGGACATGACCTGGAAGGCGGTCAGGACCACAGAGGAAGGAACAATCCCTGAGAGAGAAGAGACGGCGTTACAGGAAGAGCGGAGCAAGCACGCGCTGCATATCATTGCGGCCAGCTCACTATTTCGTGGGGCTGGAGGGGGCGTGGCGGGCCATTGAAGTGAATGGCACCGTAGCCACGCCCTCCGGCCGCAATGCGAGTGCA